ATCCGGAGCACCAGTTTCCATGGATGCCCTATAATTTGAAACAACTGTAACTTGCTTAACTTATCTATAGCTGATGCGCTCACGTCAACCTGTTGAGCCGGTAGGCCGAAATCGACAGTGAAGCGCGAGTCTGGAAGCTTTAGCAAATGATTTTGACTTGTTTTTGATTCTAACTGCTGTCTTTGGCCGCATGGTGTACATATCGTGGGAAGCTGAGTTAAGACGAAATGGTGCCTCGGTAGCGTAACTTGTCTGGTAAGGGAGAGGTGCGGGTTTGAGTCCCGCCTGGGGCGAAAGTTTTGTTCACAACCCAGCAATTCTTGTGAAACCCAAAGCGTTTTTTTTTGAAATGTTCTGCAGCCTCCCAGGGGCTACTTGGTTGTTTTGACAGCTGAGATGGCTTAAAAATGGAGGTTTGCTCTTCAAATAATTTGGAATCGATTTTCTTTGGCTTCACAGTGTTCGAGGCTGGGTAATGAGTTGGTTTAATATCGCGAACTAGACCTCTGCCGGTGTAGCGCAGCGTTGCATGTCTTTTGCTCTTTGCGTTGATGGCAGTCATTTAGAACAACTTTATGTAGGAGATTTGCAAGTCTTAGTCTCCTTCACTTACTTTGCTGGGCGTTGACTATTCGCAAATATAAAAGAAACGGCGAAAGGACAATTGGCCAAAATTCATCCCCGTTCCTTCTGGTATCGCGTACTTCAGCCCGAATAATCTTGCCAAATACGGTCGATATCCCAAGTATGGTTGGTCTGAATCGTGCGTGCAGCTCTCCTAGTAGATGCTGAAATGAATGATCGGACAATTCGTGAAAGTGTTAGTTACGTATTGATTAGGAGCATCATCGCTGACCAAGTGACGCACATTGAAATCGTTGTAAGGAAATGAGATTGAGAACAGAGTTAGTTGAGATAATACTCTCCCATTCTCTAGTTCTGCGGTCGTGATCGATGCAATCCAACTCTTCGCGAATTATCCGATCCCATACGGCGCTGAATTCACGCGCTGTCGTTTCGTACTGTAAGTGATACGAGGTCTTGGATTGCCTTCATGACATATTCCATCACTGAAAATATATTGAGATAAAATTGGCATAGATGCTTCACTTATGTATTATCGCCACTTGATCTAGGCTTTATTTTAGCTTTTTAGGCTTGGAAATAAAACCATTCCAATTTACTGATTAAAATCTCCCAAACAAGTCAAGCTCCCTTGCTTAATCTGGGGAGGCTAGGATAACAATGGCTGGTTTAGATTCCGCGAGTTCAACGCGTTGCCTTTACTTTTTATTAGGTGTCGTTGAAGTTGTCATGTCACTTCAGCAGACTTAACACCACCTGTCGCGAAAAACCACAAAGAAACATGTGAGCCTGGTCACTTACTCAGCGAAATACGTAATCGGAAACCTGCCCACCTTCTTGACTGGACCAAGCATAGGTCACAGAAGATTCCAATCCTGTTTGCTAGACCTCTGTTGTGCGCCTGTTGCTCTGTTGTGTTTTGAATTTCTGGATGACAGTCCGATTGGAGATCTGAGGCAACTCGAGAAGCGCAACAATAGGCAGCCGTAGAGAGAGATCTTAGGCGTCACCAATTCAAACGTACTGCCAAATACAAAGTTTTATCAACTCACCGTATCCTACCCAGATCATTTCTATACCATCATTGAAAGTGGCAGATATACGTTCGTTGTTAAACGAAGAATCCATACTTAGTTGCTTGTCAATGAAAGTAACTACAAAATCGATTCTTCTCCAAAGTTCCTATTGAATTGTATAATTTTCATTGTCTTTTTAACAAACTGCGTATCGAGTGTGACACCTTGTGATTGTTTTTGTTTCGAATTTTCATGTTACAAACTTGTCGGTTTGAAAATCATACTAAACATTGGCGGGGGCTATGGAGGTTCAAGTATTAGGGCATTCGGCATTGTGCGGCATTCTCCTGGGATAAGCCATGCACCTGACTTTCATTTAAAAATTCTAAGGAACAGTGATTGAAGATGATTAGGCCCTTCCATAGTGAATCCTTGGGAACAGTTGATGCATAAGTCTGTGTTTTTATCCTCCGGACGAATTTGGTACCGATTGCGTGGTCCCAAGGAAAGGTATGCTTGGCTAGCTAGGAAGGGATTCATTACCGGCTTTGATCCCTGAGTTTGGCTGGTAGTAAGGCACCACCTGCCACAGCGTTGCCTTCGCCGTCGATTTTGATTGTTGATTTGGAAAGTTCAGAAAAGCAAGTATTTAAAGGGTTTCGGTACGTCATGAGTTAAGAAATCGTATGAAATTATGCAATAACTTAACGAGTATACATATTCCTCATATTCAGTCCGAGTGATTAATTTCGATTTCGATTGATAAATGATTATTTTCATGGTCCATACCAGCTCACATTTTACAGCTGTGATTAGTGTATTTAACCTTTTAGAATGAACTGCGCATTTAATCCATGATTTGAGCTTTGCAAGTTTGGATTGGTTATTACGTAGCGCTGGAAATGTGAAGCTGTGTTCAAATATATGAAATTTTTGTTATTTATGAATTCAATAAAGTTTGAACCTTTGATGTTAGAAACTAATAATTTTAATATATTATTACATGGGGTCAAACAAAAGAGCAGGCTACTTTTTGTTTCGCATGTGCCCTTAGACGGAAACTAGGCGAGTAATGTCCTCCTTAATGCTCATAATGCTCGAGTTAGTGCCCTAATGTTCTTAGATAAGCATGATTCCACTCCCGATAGGTTCCACTAGGGTGATTCCGGGAGCTGGATAGCTTGCGTGACCTGAGCAGCAATCTGTCCACGTTTACACACGTGCTAGCAACTGCCCCTGTCACTGCCCCCACTTCCTCATGCTGAAAAAACATGTACTTAAAATTGTGTAAAAATAGGGAGAATTGGAATATAGACTGTCAAGAAGTAAAAAAAATCGCTCCAAAATTTCTGGTCACCAATAATAATTTCGGCCTTCCCGCCTCAGTTGAGCAAAAATTGTGTCAACACCTCTTGGCTGCCAATATGTAACATCAGCGTTCGCATCGGAAATCCCACATAAAGACTGTTGACGGTCTCTAAATCTGTAAGCTGTTTAACAGTACCCTCGTCTGGTAAGGCGCTATTAGCTCCACATTTGTCCCAAGTGCTAGAAAAAAGCGCCAGTCGTAAATATGATCTGGCTGCCCATGTTGTCTGTGTCTCTTGCGTTCCGACCAATCAATGGACGGGCGGACTCTATCGATACGTGCCCGTCGTCTGGTTGCAGTGTTACCCATACGATGGCAGAGGTCGGCGGCTCCTTCAAAGACTCCCTTACTCAGGTACGTTTGGGTTTCAGTAGCCCTTTTCGTCTGTGTCTGGTGCTCATGAGGAGCTATAGATTAGGAATTTTCCCGTTTCAGGCTCAAAAGGATGAGTTGAGATCGATTGCAGAGAAGATTGTTGCTGATGGAAAAGGAATTCTCGCTGCTGATGAGTCTACTGGTAAGCTATCTGTCCACATTCTCACCATTGGAGAGGAGTTAGCATACTTGCCTACGCTAGCTAATTACTGGGAGTGTCTCCCCATTGCCAAGGACTTCGCGTGTTGTGCTCTCTAATACCCCCTACATCATTTTTGTCGGATTTGAGACCACAGCTGAGGCCAGAGATTAAGTGTTCGCAGTCTAACACTGCAGTAATGCTAGGTGAACGCTCGGTTGTATTGTTTGCTTTCAGAGGACCGCGTTGTCAAAGTGCACACGCCAAGGGTTCATATTCCCGAGCGATTTTTTTAGAAATGCATGTTGTTTTTCAGCGATCGCACATTACTGTTTGTTGCCGTGTTCTTCAAAAAAATCCTAAAGCTGTAAAGCGGTAGTTCTGGCGTAAATTGTTATGCACTGTGGGCTGAAATGCGTCGATGAGAGCGAACAACGGCCGTGGCAGCGAATCGGTGAAGCGCGG